CAATTTGTGAAGAATGATATTTGGGAACTTATGCCTCGACCTAGTGATGTTAATATCATAGGGACCAAATGGATTTTTAAAAATAAACTTGATGAACATGATCTTGTGATGAGAAATAAAGCTAGATTAGTTGCACATGGATACATTCAAGTTGAATGAATTGATTTTGATGAAACTTTTGCACCTGTTGCTAGACTTGAGTCTATTCAACTTCTTTTTGCTCTTGCATGTCACTTTAAATTCAAATTGTTTCAAATGGATGTTAAAAGTGCTTTTCTTAATGGTATTTTGCAGGAAGAAGTTTATGTAGCACAACCAAAAGGTTTTATTGATCCACATAATCCTGATTTTGTTTTTCATCTTAAAAAGGCTCTTTATGGTTTAAAGCAAGCACCTAGAGCATGGTATGAGAAGTTGACTTCTTATCTATTGCACAAGGGCTTCAGAAGAGGAGGAGCAGATAAAACATTGTTTATTTTTAGGAAAGGAAAAGATTTTCTTATTGCTCAAATATATGTGGATGATATTGTTTTTGGTACTACATGTGATAACCTTGTTCATACTTTTTCTAAAGATATGAGTAAAACTGTTAAAATGAGCATGGTTAGTGAATTGACTTTCTTTCTAGGTCTCCAAGTGAAACAACTTGATGATGGGATTATCATATCTCAATCAAAATATGCAAAGGAGCTAATTAAGAAGTTTGTTATGAAAGATTCAAAGCATATTCAAACTCCTATGAGTACTTCATCCAAATTGGATATAGACTCTGATCCTAACAAGGCTGATCATTTCTTATATAGGAGTATGAGTCGTAGCTTGTTATATTTGGCAGCAACTAGGCCAGATATTTCATTTAGTGTAGGTGTTTGTACTAGGTATCAAGCTGATCCTAGAGAACAACACATTCTTGCAATCAAGTACATTATTTGTTATGTCAATAGTATATTGAATTATGGATTGCGTTATTCTTCTGAGTCTAACTCTGAGATTGCAGGCTATACTAATGCTGATTGGGCTGGAAACAAGGATGATAGAAAGAGTACTTCAGGTGATTGTTTCTATGTTGGTACTAATCTTGTTTCATGGTATAGTAAGAAGCAAAATTGCATATTTTTATCATCTTGTGAGGTTGAATACATTGCTGCTAGAAATTGTTGACATAATTGTTTTGGATGAAACAGATGCTTATGGATTATAGAGTTAATCAAGGTACTATTTCTATCTTTTGTGATAATACTAGTACAATAAATATTTCAAATAATCCAATTTTGCATTCTAAGACTAAACACATTGACATTCGACATCACTTTCTTAGGGAACTTGTTGAACAAAATGTTGTATCTTTGAAAAAAGTGCATACTGATCAGAATTTGGCTGATATTTTCACTAAACCATTAGATGCTCTAAGTTTTCTCATTTTAGGAAATCTATTGGTGTATGTTGTCTTGATTAGATGCATTGCAAAGACATAGTCTAGAAAGGATCTTTATGCATATCTTGAGAGTCTAAATTATATTTTTGGGAAGTTAAGCAAACCATATTGACTGAATATATTGAACACAAGGAGTTTTATGACACATGGATTATCTGTAAAATGCATACAATGGCTATGAATTGATAAAGTGGGTTTTGCTTACTTATTTTGTATAGTAAATGAATCATTTATAGTACATGTACTTGAGGTGTCATTATTTTGGTCAAAGATAATGTTGATATGATTGATCATTGTCTTGGAATTTAAACTTGATTTATGTGTTTTAGACCAAAAGAGTAGAAAAAAAAAAAAAAATATGTTGAAAAATTGAAAAATAGCTTGGAATGAAAAAGTGTTTGAAAAAGAAAAAAATATTTGTTGTTTAGAAAGAGTTAGATGGAAAAGGCTACCTTTGGGATTTGTCCGAAAGCTACCTTAACTCAAAACAAATGGGAATAAGGGAAAAAGCTGGCTGCCCATAAGTGTGAAAGCCACCAATGTGCTAAAAGAAAAATGAAGCAAAAAGAGAGATAAAACAAAATGTCTTTTACACATGTTGATTGTTTGATTTCTAAGGATATGTAATATCATTAATTTATTATCTGAAATCTGAACAATTGACAGATCATATGTTTTTGGAACTTGGTGGTGATTTTATTACACTTACTAAGTTTATGGAACTTAATTGAATTGATCTTGGTTATTTCTGTTGATACATATAATCTTGTGGAGTCTACATTCTCGTTAATTTCAATTTACAAGATTAATATGGTTGGTTGCTTCTTTCTTCTAGGATTTTTCTTTCTTGAGACCCTTGTTAATTTGTGACAAAAATGGGGAGAGAGTTTAGAGTCCTATCATTCAGGGGGAAAGATATTTTTGCATTAAGGGGGAGAAAATTTTTGCATTTGAAGGGGAGAACCATTGATCATTGCATGTTTAAAATGCGTTGATTTTCAGGCATTAAAATTTGTTATTTTATGCTTGTGTCTATTGTCTTGATTAAACTTCACAGGTAGTTGTGTTTGAGCTAATGTACAGATTATAGGTTGTTACATGTGTGAAGCTTCATGAGATTCAAGAAAATTTCAGCGTTTTATTTCCTTTAACAATCAATGTAATTTACTTTCCTGCTTGAGTAGATTGCTGAATTGTTTATAGGGTTTTGTCACGAAATTGCCAAAAGGGGAGATTGTGAGATATATTTTGTAATTGGCTAATTTCGTTGTCAAAACAAGTCCGATTGAGTTGTAATTTTTCAATTCAAAATTTCAAAGATTGAAGATCAGAAGCGGATTTAAAGAAGGCCAAGTGTTCATGATATACTACACTCTAAGATGATGAGAACAATGCTCTAAGAAGGTTGAGAGGTAATGAGAACAGTTAGGAAGGGTTCTGGAAGGTTCGGAACAAGTTTAATTGCAAAATATTGCAAAATTTCAAGACTGCTCGTCTTAAACCGGTTCAAGAGGGCTAAACCGGTTTAAGAATCTGTGGGATTCCTTACTGTCCATCTTGAACCGATTCAAGATGGCTGAACCGGTTCAAGGTCTTTTAGCAACACTTTGATTATAGTTTCCTTTTTGCTGAAAGTTTTCTTTTCGATTCCAACTTCCTTCCAAGTCATATGCACGAAATTTATCATATTTTTTGAGGGATTAGGACTTTCAAAACTCTATATAAACTATGTCATATACATTGGTTGAGACAAGGCTTTAAGGAAAATCAATTCTATATTTTGAGAAAGCCTTTTGAGAGAGAAAATTTCAGAAAATCAAATCTGATTATTCTGAATTTATTTTTAAGAGCACACATATATATTCATGAGTGATTTAGTTGTAGTGTTCTCTATCTCATCGGAATTGGAGCTATATTGAAGATTCAGATATTCCAGATGATCAGCAGGATTTAATTCTTCTACATTCAGATCTTGAAGAATAGAAGTAAGCGCAGTCACACTTTGAAAGGGTTGGAGCATTCGTGGAGTGCTATCTGATCTACCTGCTACTCTTCTACAAATATCAAGTATAAGCCTTAGGTCAAGTTGCTGTTAGACGGAGAGTCGCAAAGCCAGAGGATCGTCAGCAGTTGGTGTAGTGTAGAACGATAGGGTATGAGCCAGAGTCAAAGTTCGGTATACTTTGTTTCAAACATAGTGGATTGGTTTACTTTGGATTGCACAGTCCACGAGGTTTTTTCCCATAACAGTTGACGTATTTTATCAACCGGGGTTTCCTCGCTAAAATCCTGGTGCAATCTCTCTTACTCTAACTTGCTTTACTTTTCATATATTTGTGATTATGGATGCATGTTTAAATTGGTCATATAATCTAGTCAATTATAAATTGAGCAAGTTGACCTAATAATCAAATCTAAGTCATTAAGGGAGTTAATCACAATTAAAAACAACTGTTTGTTTCCGCACCCTGCATAACTCTTGCTTCACACAAACCTGGCATTTTTGTGGGATATCCTTTTGGTCAAAAGCGATATAAAATATTTGACATAACCACTTAAAAAATTTATATCTCTTAGAGACGTTATGTTTTATGAAAAAAATTTCCATATCGAGATGCTCAATTTCATCCTTCTGATCGGCCAATTATGCCTTTGCCAATTGCAAATAATGGTGTCATTAATCCATCCTTTGACATTTTTGCACCCTTTCCTTTTTCTTGTTTTGACAACTTAGTTCCTTTATCGGTTTGGCCTAATATAGTTGAGCCAACACTCGAGGAACCTTCCTCACACCATGATAATGTTCCTAACTCTCTTTGTCAAACACGACCAATTTGTGATTGCTATACCCCACTCTACTTGCAAGATTATTTCTGTAACAATGTGACCTCAGCAGATTACCCGCAACAATTAACTTCTCATGGGTCATGTACATTTTATCCTCTTTCACAAGTTCTTTCATATAATCATTTGTCTTCTTCACATTCAACTTTTCTTAATTCTCTTGATTCATGTGTTGAGCCAACATCTTTCTCACAAGCTGTTAAGATCCCAGAATGGCGAGAGGCTATGGAGGCAGAAATTAAAGCTTTGGAGGAAAATGACACTTGGAAGGTTACAACTCTGCCTCCTCACAAAAAACATGTTGGTTGCAAATGGGTTTACAAAATAGTGTATCAGTCAAATGGAACTATTGAGAGATATAAAGCTCGCCTAGTAGCCAAAGGATTTACACAAACTGAACGCATTGATTATAATGAAACATTTGCCTCTGTTCCAAAAAGGATCACTGTCCACTATTTTTTGGCCATTGCTTCCATCAAAGGGTAGTCTCTACATCAACTTGATGTTAATAATGATTTTCTTAATGTAGACTTAAATGAAGAAGTATATATGAAAATTCCTCTAGGTTATCACAGGCAGGGGGAGAATTGAGTTTGTCGATTGAACAAGTCTCTATGTGGGCTCAAATAAGCGAGCCGCAATTGGTTCGCTAAATTTTTTGAATCTTTGTGCTTTGCCGGCTACTCTTAGTCTAGAGCTGATTATTCCTTATTTTTTAAACATGGTGATTATCGGGGTTCTCACATTTGTTTTAGTCTATGTTAATGATATTTTGATTGGTGGTGATAACATAGATGAAATTCAAGCTCTAAAGGCTATGTTGAATGCTCAGTTCCATATCAAGGATCTTGGATTTCCAAAATATTTTCTTGGTATTGAGATTGCTCGTTCCTCACGTGGTATTCTTCTTTGTCAAAAGAAGTACACCGTGGACATTTTGACTGACATGGGTATGTTAGGTTGTCGGTCTACTCGCACACCTATGGAACAAAATCTCAAGTTGAGTGATGTTGAGGGAAATCCCTTGCCTGATCCAATCATTTCTTGCCGGCTTATAGGCCGCCTTATTTATTTGATGATTACATGCCCAAATATTCTTTTTGCTGTGAATATCCTCAGTCAATTTATGCAGGCTCCATGAAAACCTCATTACGATGCTGCTTTACGTCTTTTACGTTATCTAAAAGTCTGTCCGAGTAAGGGTATTTTATTGTCTTCTACAAGTTCTCTTCAACTTACAGAATATGTTGGCTCTGATTAGGCTAGTTGCCCAATTCAACGTCGATCTACAAGTGGATATTGCAGTTTTCTTGATTCAAGTTCGATCTCTTGGAGGACTAAAAACCATGTTGTTTCACATTCATCTACTAAAGCTGAATATCGTGCTATGGCTCAAGCAACGTGTGAGCTCAAGTGGCTAACTTTTCTTTTGGCTGATTTTGGGATCACTTCGCCGACATCTACCTTATTTTCTGACAATCAAGCCACTCTTCATATTGCTGCCAACCACGTCTTTCATGAGTGCACAAAGCACATTGAATTGGATTGCTATTTCATTTGTGAAAAAATTCTGCGTGGATTGATTTAAACAACTTATTTACATTCATCCAACCAGCTTGCTGATATCTTTAGGAAGCCGTTAGCAAGTGAACATTTTCAACGTCTTCTTTGCAAGTTGGGCATGATTGATGTTCATGCTCCAACTTGAGGGGGAGTATTGCGCCTTAATCTTCTCCGAGCCCTACGAAAGAATTTCCACCAAGAAATTTTTTTTCTTTTTCTAATTATAGTACCATATTATATTTTTCTAGAATTCTCTTGTAGATTTTAGGAGATTTTCTTTCCTTTTCTATTTAGAGAACTCTGTATTTATTCACTCTCTTGTACAAAATTGTAGATGAATGAATATTTTTTCTTCCCGAATTTTCTAATATATGTCTTAAGGAGAATAACTACGCAGTTCTTTTCTAGGGGAATCCAAATCGTGTCGTTAGACACCTCATTGAAGAATACTGCGCGGTAACTATTCTACTCCAATGTTTTCATCTTTTTTCACTTTTTTTATTAGTGATTTCTTGATAATCCCAATTTGTCCAAGATAAAGAAATGTTATATTTGTTATTGGGGATGTTCAATTATGTCAAATTTTTAAAAAAATATTATTAACCCTTGTCTGTTATGTTATGGAACCTATTTAAAAGCTGGTTATCACCACATGTTTATATTGTTTTCATTTAAATTCGACTATTTTTTAGTGGTTCCTGGATATTTGTGGTTCCAACTAGGCTCTCAGATGTCTTAGCTTTATCCAATGCAGCCCTAAATTATGCAATTTCAATTGTTTCATCTTTCATTTGTTACATTACAACTCTTCTTGTTTTAGTTGTTTGTTTACTTTCTTGGTTTTACCATTTTGCTTTTAGTCTAAAATGTTGGTTTTTACAATAAAAGCCTCCTTGGTTTATCACTTAGAAAATAATTAGTGAACTGAAAAATTAGAAAATGGTATAAAAACTTCATTTGGTTCAATTTTCTAAAAGCTATTTTATGAAAACTATAAAAGACAATTATATGAAAATAGTTTTATATTTATGTTTTCTAAGCAGATTTTTCCAAGGAGGAATTCCAACTTGAAAAAAATAAAATGCCTAAAATTGATTTTTCTTTTTTCTTTTTTCTTGGCAAGATTCTCACACACCCATTTAGCCCTATGCGGACTTAAACCCTTGCCTGTCACTTTTGAAGGTTGATCTGTCACTCTAGAACCTTTGGTGCCTAAAATTGGTTGTAAATTGATATGTGTTACCCATCTTATATTTAATTTATTGATTTTGCTATGATTTTGAGTAAGCGTATGAGAATTTGAGACTGGGAGCACTTTAGAGGAAGGGAGGTAACTAGTAAAACAACTTAAAATTGTAGGTTCTTAACCAACTTGTAATATGGATCTCCTTATGCATGATGACTTTAAATTAAGAATTGTATCCGACTTGTAATTTGGATCGGCAACTTTAAATTGTCATCTGATAAGTATGATGCTACTTCGAGTTTTTTTATTGTAGAATTTTTTATCTTGTACTCAAGCGTAGCTTGAAATTTTTTGAGATTTAGTTTCCGTTTGTTTGAGTGTAAAATATTTTTTAGAAAATATTTTTTTATTTTTTGGTGTTTAATTGTCTTACGAAGAAAAAAATATATATATAACAAATATAAGTTACTCATCAATTTTGAATAAGTTAGTTTATATGTCCAATCAGATGGACTTTAGACTCGAACACCGAATAAATTAAAATAAAAAAATTATTTTAATTTAAAAGGAAAAATATTTTTCCAATAAAATATTTTAGGTAGAAACAAACGCAGTTAATCCAATTAAAATCAGCCTTCTCTTGATCGGAAGACTTGGGATTTTCTTGAAGCCATTGCAAAATCTTGATTATTGAGACCTTTTGAGGTTCAGGCTGGACCACCACTTGACTTTAAACCTGCGACCTAAGCTGGAAATTTTGGAGGACTGAAAATAACATGTTCCAAAATTGCAACCATGCTAGGGAGAATTTTATAACAAATAAAAGTAAGTTTTGGGAATTTTGCTTCTTATTCCACTCAATTCTCCTGCAAAAATTCCTGGCAAGAAAATATGAAAGAGAGTTATAATCACCCTTAGTATTTTGAGGTTGGGGTGTGGGAGGAATTCCCTTGGTATTATCTGATCTCATTTATAATCATTAACGAAAACAAGAAGAATATTACAGTATCCGGATCAAAAGAAAAGAGCAGCACAAATTGGGTATCGATTCTTCCAAGACACAAAAACCCCAAATTTACAAGCCTCCACTCATATGCTCTCCTCCGGCCAGACAACCTACAAGATTGATGGACAGGAGAAGAGCCATGTCAGACAAACCACACCGACTTGGAGACAACCCCAAGATGAACAGAGGACCTCGACATAGCAAGGAACAAGTTGAAACTCAGTTCAACATCTCTCACGAAACCTCCCTCGCCCTCTGAAAACATGGACTCTCTAAATCGCTGATGATGTTGATGAGTGAGAATAATTCAGTTAAGGGGTCGGTTTACCATTAGAAATTGGATGTTTGTATCTCTGAGTACTGACTGCTGTGATTTGGATTTTTATTCTTATATTTCTTGAATTGGGCTCTATTAACTATGGGCACGAGGATGGTAGCCCAAATTGGAAATTGGTGGCCCGGTTGAAATTCAAGTCCAACTTCATTTTTCTATTTACAGGGTTTGGATCTGAGAGCTCAAACCAAAATTCAGCCCTTCTTTGGTAGCTTCTATTAGATTTCTTTTGTTTGCTGAGGAAATCAAGGGAATGAACAGATATGTTAAGCTTTGCATGGTTGTTTTTTTTTTTTTTTTTCATGTCAAAGGAAAAAAATATATATATAGAGCCTGTTTGATTATTAAGAACTCAAAAAACTATTTTCAAAGAAACATAAAAGATTAAGGGATATTTTCATTGGCTCATAATAAATCTATGTTGATATCATACTTGTTCGGGAACTCCTCATTTTTTTTTTAGAAAAAAAAAAAAAAAAAAAAAATGAGTTTCAGGGTCTTTTTCCTCACCAAATACAGGCATTGTATGTCTTGACAGTCTTGTTGATTTATAGCGCACACACATATATATATATATATGTATGTATATATATATATATCGGTTAAAATCATAAAACTCCCACTACTTTTTTATTTTGATCATAAAACTCCAACTTAGTTTAGAAAAGTCCTACACTTTTAAAAAGTGATCACATTTGCTCAATATCTGTATTCTCGTTAACCATGATATGAAATGACAAATTTAACCTTATTATTTGATGTTTATATATATAAATTTAACACAAAATAAAAATAAAAATAAAAAAATAAAATAAAATAAACTATATGAAGTCCAATATTGAGATAACTGTTGAAGTTGAAGATTGGGAAGCTTATCTTGTTAGTTAGTTTATAAATGGTGTGGTTGATTATTTCAGTATTGTTATTGCACCAAATAGAACAAAATAATTAGTTAAAATACTAGAAGGTGGTAGAAATTTTTATCATAGAATACCTATAATGAGAATTATTAGGGTAAAAAAATAAAAATAGTTTACCTCTTACAGTTGGAAACTAATGATGGAAGTATATTAGAATCCTCATCTTCAGAATCTGAAAATAAAAATCAAGAAAGCCATGAAAAAAGAATACTCTTCAGAAGGCAGAGGCAAAGAAAAACTACAGATGATTTATAAAGCAATTCTACAAATGAATGGCATTAATGTTTTTTTATATAAATTTTTTTTTTTAAAAAAAAAAAAAAAAAAAAAAAAGAGAGAATGTGAATTTAAAAAAAAAAAAAAAAGAGAATGTGAATTTATGTCTTAATGATCAAATTATTACATATCCTACAAGAAAAAGAATTCTGTAGAAGAATAATTTTCTTAGCTAAACAAAGTAAAGAACCTCAAAATGAATTTAAACTAGGAATTTTTATGGAAGGCCCACTGTCTTTATTTATTTACTTCTATATATATATATTTCCCTAGTTGATACTTACACACATGCCTCCATTGAGGTTCAAACCCCTAATCTCTTTTTGAAATGTAGGAACTTGATGCCGCTAGACCACTAACTTGTTAGTGTGTGTGTATATATATATATATTATCGAGACAAACAAAAAATGTGCCCGCTTTTCAATTGAACATTTCACCTTCTTAACTAAAGTAACTTTATTTAAAGATTTTTTTTGTGATGATTTTTATAGATTATTGATTTGTTATCTAGCCGTCGAACTTGAATCCTTGATCATATATGATGTAGATAAGTCACTCTTACTATCACTCTATAGAACATCTTACATGAAATCTTCACCTTACACGGCTCACTTGTTCAATTCTTTCAAAGTCATTGTATCATTTTTCTCGTTCGAGAATTTCCTCTCAAAACCACTCTGTCCCGAAGAGTAACTAAGACAAATTTAGTCACATTTTCATGTTCCAATTAAATACTTATCATTTTTTTATTATTCTAATACCAAGTATATGCGGATCCAGTCACGATCTTATAATAAGAACAAGTGATATTCTTGATCAATCCCCTTGCCCCTCGTTCTTCGAGAATCAGAAAGA